TGAAAGTATAGAAAATGACACCAAACACTAATCCAAAAAAATGAAAAATAGTACAAAAATAGACTTTCAAATAAGGAATATTAACAAATATAAAAAGATTTCTCATTATATATGTTAAAAGAGTCAATTTATTAAAAGGAAAAGCAATCCTAAATGTGTATGATGTCAATGATACAGCTTCAAAATACACAAAGCAAAGACTGATAATATTGTTTAAAGACAGTGTTAAGATGACAAAACGGTGTCGAGAAGTGAGAGGAGTCTGAGATTTTACCCTGCTTGCAAGCTAACAAGTTAACTTGACACACATTCATGGATCCTGGCTGAAGACATTAAACTTCTCTGTTACAGAATGATGACAATTTACCATTCACAGCCATAGCAGTGGCTAGAATATCAGCATTTTCTTGTGCTGGTTGCCCAATCCCCAACTTATACAGTACAAGTGACAAAGACCAGGTTATGCCGGCACAAGCACTGAGCAGTGTCACAGGAGAGGAACTTTGAGCTTAAGGAACAGAAATCTTTTATAATTAGTTGCAAGCAAACTTGCCTTACCTTTTTTTTTCTTAAAGGTAGACATTTCCTATGTTATTAATATAATGGATAGTAAACAAACTTACTCTTTGCTTTTTGAGGTAAACATCATCTTTATCTTCCATGGTCCTTTGCTACTCAAAATCTTTGAAAAGGTATTACAGTTGAACATAAAGGAACATTCAGGGCCTCTGCTCACAGGACTGTCAAAATGTGAGAGATGTCTGGAAAATTGTCTCCTAATAAAAGGCAAGCTACAGACTAGAAGAAAATGTTTTTAAAACATGTATCTAAGATAGGATCTGTATCCAAAGTTTATAAAGAACTGTTCAAATTCAAGAATACAAGCAAAAAGTAGGCAAATTTTTTAACAGATATTTTATCAAAGGTGATATATGGATGACAAGTAAACACGTAAAAGGATACTGAACACCAGTAGTCATTAGAAAAATTCAAGTTACAACTGCAATGGTATGCTACTGCACCTCATTAGAATGGCTAAAATTAAAGGTGACAATATGAAGTGTTGGTAAGTATGTGGAGCAACTGGAGCTCTCATACTTTGCCAGTAGGAGTTCAAAATGGTATATTTTAGAAAACGGTTTGGCAGTTTCTTATGCAATTAAATATATAGTTATAAAAGGACCCAGAAATCCCCTTCTAGTTATTTATCCATGAGAAAAGAAATAAATAGCAACACAAGACATATATAGATATTTTTAGAGCTTTATTCACAATATCCCCAAATTGGAAACAAGTGTTCTTGTCCTGATAAATCGATAAACAAATTGTGCCATACCTGTAAAACAGAATACATCTCAGCCATACATATACATAAATCATGTAGATAAATCACAAAAGCAATATGCTAGGTGAATAAAGCCAGACAGAAAAAATACTTTATGATTTCATTTCTATGAAATTCTAGAAAAAATATAGTGATTTGTTGAAGAAAGTACTTTAGTCATTGCCTGTGTCGGGAGTGAGACATTAACTGCAATGGGGCATGAGAGAACATTTTAGGGTGAAGGAAATATTCTACATTTTGATAGTGGTGCTGGTCACATTGAATTATTTTTTATATTTAGTGAATTTTATTATGTGTAAATCTCATTTCAGTCAAGCTGTTAAAAATAGGGATGAGACTCTGCTCTATTTTAGCAAACATCAGAATTGACTAACCAATGATATTTTACCTTTTAACAGGCATGCTTTTATGTTGGCAATTGGTTATTTTTTTTCTGCAACTCTTTCCCTTTTTTTTATTGTTTCAGCATATTATGGGGGT